TGGGATGTTTTTAAGATTTAATGCTTTGCACCACAATGGTTTACATTCTCACCGCCATACAATTAAATTATTCATCATATAAATCAGCAATGAAAAAAAACAAACAAAAAAACAATATCATCATATATTCCTCATTTGCAAATTGCTTTGGATTAAAGCCTCTGCTAAATGAGTAAATGTAATTGTATTCTTGAGAAGAACTCTTTCAATTAAATATTGAAATAGGCTATAGCCTAGACAGCCGTTTGTGTGCATAACCTTGTAATGTTTACATAATTCCTAAAAATCTGCGAGTAATTCCTTTTATTTTGTTGTTGGATTAACATAAATAACACAGCCACTAACATAATGTTAGCAGATGCACAATTCCTACTGTAAGTCATCCGATTTTATCTCAAATGTTGCATTTATTTATCACATAACAGACTATGTTTGATGCAAATACTCACCATGGTGTCCATTTTAATATATCTTTTTGTGAATTTGACCATTTAAGTGCTGTAACTTTGAAAGAAAACTCAATACTAGGGCACCCTGACATGACAGACAGCATTCTGTGCATGCGTAGATTGCTTACAGCATTGAGTTTGTCTGTGGCTTGTTTAACAGGCTAACGTGAACTTTAACTCCTTTTAAACATCACATAGGCACCGTCTTTGATTTTCTGATTGATGCATGCTTCTTTATCAAGCTAAAACATTAATAACTTTAAGCAGTCCTGTGCTGATTGGGTATATTTTGCGATGTATAAAAAACCATGATGAGAAAAAGGCATCATTATTCACGTAAATTTAAATAACGACGGCAGAAGAGAGTGTAATTCCCGGTAGCTTTGGGCACACTTTAATAAAATACCATAAAGATGTACTTTATGCAAGTTTTTACCTAAAAAATGTTTTATTTCTGCTTTTATTTCAGGAAAAGTTTAGGCATTCTTTCAAAAATGCCATTTGGAGACCTGGTAACCAAATGACCAAATGAGTCAACACTACAAATGCTGTTCAGAAATAGTTTTTTCTTGTGTGTTATGGTGGGCAGAGCAGTTCTGAATTGATATGCATATATGCATTATGTAGTTTTGCCTCATTTGGTCATTTGGTTACCATTTGGAGTCTCCAAAATGGCTTTTTTGAAAGGACACCTGGACTTTTAAAAAAAATAAAAGCTTACAGAAACTACATTTTTGGGAGTATCATCTTCAAATTCGAATCAAACTATGGTCAGACATTCAGCTTTATCTTTATGGTGTTTTCAGGCCTTTGGCATCAAAGCCTCATCCATTTTTCCCTTAGTGAATTTCATTCAAAGATATCGTGAGTCACTTTCATGTACATTTTACCTTGTTTTACTAATTTTGAGTTGTTACTGTTACTCCAGAGTAACAAAGGTTCAAGTGTCTAGTTTCAAACAAAACCAGATTTATAAATATAGACCATAGGGTTCAAGAGCTACAGACATTTTTATTTGGGTATGTTGTTTTTCAGAAAATGCTCAAAAATAGGGGCGCACAGTAAGTGGTTCAAACAAACTTCAAATACTTTTATTAATCTTAACTGACTGCTTCAGTGAGACACCATCTTCAGTCGTTAATTCGTGAACACTCAATCGCTGCGGACACTCAATAATACGAGGCGCCGGGCTGGACAAAAGTGAAGTTCGCGAGAGAGGCCGAGTGCGTCCGAGAGAGAGAGTGAGAAGTTCTGTGGTGTGAAACGCAACGCTATTATCCTGCAATTTCCACGATGTTTAAGGAGTAATTTGGTATATTATTTGGTACAAATTTTGCTCCAAACCTAATCTAAGTAAGAGTCAGGAACATAAGATGGATTTGGAGCAGGGCTGGCACTGAACTTGCACTGGAATCTGAAGGAAAGTGGATCTCCTGAAACAGCATTGGGCACCCCTAATATATTATGTGCCTTTTATAGAAATAGTCATATTTTTTCCCCCACTTATTTTGTTAAATATAATACCATTTTGTTGTATTCGGATTCATGCTACTCTAAACACAGCCTTCATATTAGGTGTCGTGATAGAGTAAGAAATGCCTTGCATAAAATGTCAATAGTTTTTTTT